GTAAGGGGTCATACCGGTGCGCCGATCGCCGGTGTCGAGGAGGTCAGACGATCTGTTGCTATAAGAGAACCCGACGCCGGCCGGAGTTTCAAGGAACAGAAGGTTAGCAACAGTGTTCCATGAGAACTTGTTGAGGTATAAACCCGACCCGCTTTTGTTTAACCTAAACGGGCCAATCTCTTCCGAGGCACCATAAGCCACCGAAGAACAGCCAGGACCTGAGAAAAACAATTCAGAGAAGAGCAATTAGTAAATGCTTATGATGTACAATCCACAATTAAAAACCCCATATTCTTTTGACCCGACACTCTATGAAGAATGGTCCTACCTGTCTCGGGTTTATGCTCCGAGTAAAGACAACTCGCCTAAGACATTGACGAGACTGCTCCGGTTTTTTTTTTCACTATTGAACGTTAATGAGTAACACTAATTATTGAAAGGTTTTTGATATGTGGTCAGAGGGTGAAGAGCTATAGAGACAAAAAAAGAAAAGAAATTTGAATAGGAAGAAGCCAAGAAGGAAGTAGGTTGAATATTGATGGACGATTTCGTCGCATATAAGCATTAAATTCAGAAAAAAAGATATAAATGGTGGGTCCAGATCGATGGTGCAGTGCTCTCGTCCTGTTCTGAGATTTGGTTTTAGTTTTACAGACAGTTAGGGAACAATAAAATTTATTTTTTAAAGGTCAATCGAATTGAAGGATGGTCTGATGGTCTTGGCTGTGATATCATTCATTCACAATTAATGAATGCTGTTTAGGGTTGCTTGCTCTCATTGAATTCTTGTAGACTCTACGAAATTTTGGTGCAGAGAGAGAGAGAAGGGTTGAACCAAGCTTACTTACCCAACAAAAGAACCCAAATGATGAAAATGAAAACAAAAAGATAATAATAGAAAAATAAAAAGAGGTTCAAAGCATCTGTTGTTTCTTTTCTTTCTTTTCCATCATTTGTTATCATGTCGGCAACGTGAAAAAAAACATGCGTGTTAATCTTTGACAAGCTAGAGAGAGAGAGAGAGTAGAAAATGGAGCTGTGAAGAGTGAAGAAAGAAGCATTAGACATCCTCTCTGATAAAGTAATGTTAAATGTGAATTCCTTCTAACTACTCTTACATCAGTTATAATGTCTGTATTTCTACTGGTTTCTGTCTCTATAACATTTCAATTGTTCTACTGCTACATGCTATCCGCCTATCAGAACTAAAAGAACCACCCCACCCATCACGGACACATACGATATGTGTGAGTGAGTGAGTCTGTGTGTGTGTGGAGAGAGAGAGAGAGAGACCTCCATTAAGCCAAACAACGAGGGGTTTCGAGAGTGGTTCATGAACAGCCTCAGTAAGCCAGTAGAAGAGGGCCCTGCCGGCGACTTGATTAACGGTGACATAGCCGGAGAATTGCTGGAAAGAGACTTTTGGTTGCCCCGGAAGTGCTTTTATCCGATCGGCCTCTTCTTCTGCACCTGCTCCATGACTTGCACCCACAGACACAAGAAGCAGAAAAGCGAAAAGAACAGAAACAAAGATCTCTCTTCTTCCAACGGCCAGGGCCATGAAGTTCATGGAGTACTACTACTGGCTATAGAAGGAGAAACAAGGTTACGAAGATGATGAGTAGTACTAGCTGTTTGCGTTATCGGTACTGGTAGGATGTGTTGTTTTCGATGAAATAAATAGGAGAGAGAGAGAGAGAGAGAGAATATTACTTATTACATTAAAATAATAATAATATGGATAAAAAATCGTATTGTTGTTTTCTACTTTTCTTGAGGGAAAAAGGGGTCACATGGTTTGAGCACGCCAACCAAACAGTCCCTTGAATCCTCCATCATTTGCTCCTGTAGTTGTATCCACATACACAGAAACAACTTTGACTACCCTCCTCTTGACTCCATTCATTTTTTGTGGCTATATATATATTTATATATCTTCGGTTTGTATAAGCTTTGAGCATATAGTCGGTCTCGGTAAAATAGTTACTTATTTTGGGGCTGGACCACACCAATAAGCATTTATTTGAGTTTGGGAAATAAGTACGAATTGATGAAAAGCCTAAATTTTGGATTTATTTTTAAGTGCTTATTTCCTTTCTGATTTATCTAAATCTGTCCGTCAAGTTATTCTGAAAATACCTATACTATTCCTACTTAAAATAAATGCTTATTAAAATAAATACTTAATTTTAAGCATTTATTTTTCAAATGAGCATCCTCGAACTTAGCCTAAGACCAAATTGAATGTGGGTTCACTTCTCCAGGCTTTGCAGGCGAGCCGGCCGGCCAGCCGGGCCGGCAGTTTTCCTCATTGTTTCATTGGGTTCAACTAGTAGAGGACAAGAGCAATGATGACCATGAATGAGGGGTTCTTTTGGACTGGCATTGCCCCCCTCCAAACCTCCAGAGAGGCTAAAAGGCAGAGGGGCTTTGCCTTTGCTTTTGTCACCAGCTTACGTCTTCATTATTTTATTGTTTCCCATTTTCAGCATGCCCGGCAGTAGTAGACCTCTAGAAAGGCCACTAGTCAATGCAGGTCCCGGCTCTGACGGGTGGAATTGATACGGACCTAGCTAGACTCCGGCCTTTTGGCTTGAAGCTGAAGCAGCACCCAGTCTCATTAGACTGTGGAGCTGGAGCCTTTTGGCCAAGATAGACCTCTACCAGTTGTAATAATGGAAGCATATACTTCTGGAGTCAAGAGAAGATGGGAGGACAAATTATGGATCGGTACAAATTCTCTTTCTTCTCTTGTGTGGTGTTTTGTATGGATGAGTGTTGGTGATTAATGGCTGGTCTGGTCTCTTTAATCAGAACGGGAAGATGGAAGATGGAATTTCATCCTGAGCCCAGTTGGGGTACAAAACTACAAACAGTACTCCCTAGCTACAATGCTTTCTGCCTTTTATTGACCAACTAGCCAGCTAGCTCTAGAAAAATGTTTGAGCTTGTCACTGAATTCTATGAGAATAGGATCTTTTCTGGGCTGTTTTACTCCAAAAATATCATGATTTCAACCTTGGGCAAACATTTTATTTGCCTCTCTGGAATTGTCTGTTGAGTTCTTCAGATAGAGGGTTGGGTTAACTTGCAATGCTAGAGTGGATTGTATGTTTTCCAATCACAAGCCAAAAGATGATATATCTGATTATCTTCTGAGCTTATTATATGAAATTTCATGAAATGCTTAATTTAAAATACTACTCTGCCTTTTAATGCCTTTCTCAAATAGTGTTTCCTTCTTTTCAGCTTTTACTCATAAGAGTGAGCAATTCCATTAATTGATAATCTCAAATCTCGACATTCCAATTACCAACAAAGGAAAGAAAAGAAATTAACCAGTTTAATTAGAATGAATTGAAATTATTGTTTCCTTTAAAGGTTATCTACACACAGTAAGAGTTATCATGCCAGGTTTGCATTCTTTATTGTTTCATCTCCAATTCTTTTAAGAACATATTAATTCATTGCAGTGATTAAGACCATGATGATGTTAGTGATGATATGATAATCATACAAAAGATATTCCCACCTGTACCCTTTGGCTATAGCAATTAATAATGAAGACATATTATATTTAGTTGTTGCAACAGAAAGACTAGTTAAGTAATGAAGGTATTTGTAGTATAGAGTAATAGACAGTAGTGAGTAGGTGGTGTGGATAGAACAGGAGTAGTTTTAACTTTCTTAAGTATTAATAGTTATTGGGGAGGAGAGAGAGAGAGAGAGAGACTAGGGGTAGAGTCTGAGTCATTTTCAATGAAATGAATGCTATATGGGAACCTGCACAGCATTGAAAAGCTCGATATGTCATTTAATGGGTTGGATATCATCGTTTGGGTTCAATTGAGGGGACCCTCATCCTTCCCGGTCCCTTCCTTCCATCTCTTCTCTTGTCTTTTATTTTTCTTTCTTCTCTTGTTTCTAACGTTAACTTACTCAAAATGTTGGCTTCTCTGTTAAAAGCCTGAATCATGTCAGACCCACAGCTTGTTTGATGGGCTTATTTGAAGGGAGATAGTTTTGTATCTTACTCTCTCTTTCACTGCTATTACACGTCTCTCTTCCTTTGAATATCCTTCAGCCACCGACACCCCACACCCATTTATTTATTTGTCTTAGATTTAATATAATCCAAGCACAATCTCTGGAAACACATGAATGTATACCCAGATGACTGGGCCCACCCTTGAAAGATACAGATTATCAAACTGTTTGGTTTTCTTTTGAGTACTCATGCTAAGCCGGTCTAGGACATTTATGAGCTCTAGCCATTAAGCCCATGTGATTGGAATTTTAAAATTGATCATGTGGAATGATTGAGTAGATCAGATGGTCCGGATCATTCCATCATGTCTGACATCTGGATGGGGAATCATTTGGTCATATGGCAAGATGGGAGGTGGGTGGTGATCATATCCTTCCATGTGATAATGGTTTAGAGTATCATTTCCCATGTATTTAGGGGGTGTAAGAAGCTACATTGACCCCTATTAAATACTGTTATCTGAAGACAAAGAGTAGAGGGGTTTTAGCATCTTCAAGCATATCTTGAATTGCTCCTTGTTTGTGGCAATGAAAGCTGGGTCTAAGTGTACTTATTAGTAATGCATGCTTATGGATGAAGGCAGTTCACATGATAAACAAGTCCCCAAAGAAGAAGATAAGGGTCCTCTGCAACATGTGTACACACGTTTTCCAGGGGAAAATTTGGAGGAATTGAATGATATCCTCATATGTCAAAAGATCTTAAACCCTAAGATGATTGATCCATATTTGCTTTTGTGCCAAGTAAAATCAGACCCATTTCCACATTTATCTTGGTTCATCTAAAAGAGCTTTAAGTTCATCTTGTTGATGAGTTTGTTCATTGTTTGTCTGAAAAAACAGTAATTGCTTAAGACTCCAGTAACTGAAAGCATTGTTCATTGTAAACCTCAACTCAATGACTAACCACATAGTCAATTAATTTGGCTTTTGGCATTGCATCTTCTTGAAAAGGAGAGACCATCAGTTTGCTCTAGTCCATATCTCAGAAGAAGATTGTATACATCACAATCATTCATCTCACATCTACGAGTCTAGCCTGTCTGGCCAACATCAAAAACAAAAAGGGCCACTACCAAATGCTGGTCCCAGTTATCTGGGGTCTTGGGAGGGATGGACTATATTATGGACCTAACCTCTGGCAATTCTATTCTTAGTCTCAGACCTGAACCAAGTTTGTCTGTCGGTCAGAGATTTTTACCATTGCACCAAGTAACAGCCGCTTAGCTAACTTTGCCCACCATTAAAAATTTAAGAGAGAATGATCAAAGTCGGTAATTCAGTAATCACTTTCAACCTTCATCTAATTGGAATCTAGAATCACCAACATTGAACTGCAACTATAACATCTTGGACTTCTCTGATCTGCTACCCACATCTCTACCCATGGTACATTACAGCTGTGCATTGGGAATATCTCTCTTGTCAGTCATGGGGAGATGTTCCCAATACATGGCAATGGTGATCTGTGGGTAGAGATATATGAACACTTTGTGGGTAGCAGATCCGGAGCGGATTTTACCATTGCATCTAGATTTTATAACAGGTCATTATATGGTACTTAATTATATGCAGATATATGAACCTACCGAACTGGGATTTGCCCCTCACAAAGTGCACCTACTCACAGTTCTATTCCACCGTGTATTAGGAGCATCTCCTTGTGAATAACAATACAAAGTATAGGAGATGTTCTCGATGTGCAGCTGAGAAGTGTTGTAAGGTCTGCGTGAGGAGCGCCCCGTGAGGAGCAGATCTAGACTTGAACCTACCAAAGTATACAACACTTCCAAGAGCTCATTTTGATTCTTTGTTTACTTATAGGTAGATGTTTTCCAGTCATTTTCTATCATTTCATAGTTTTTTTTTTTTTTTTTGTACAACAAAAGCGACATAAGTTGCCATGCTAAGCAATTGCAAAACATAGGGTCCTAAGCTTGCAGTTTGTTTGGCTGATGCACTGAATTGTTTGAGTTGAGTCCAGCCAACCGACCAAAGAGACCTTGGTTGCATGAACGCCACTTTTATCTCCAAGTCCCCACCCTTTAAGTGCAATCTCTACTCACTTTGTTTCTCATGTTGATGCAGCTTCTGGCTCCATGCTTTCAGAATGTGGGTCCTTCTCGAGTTTGAATAAAACCATTGTGAATAAACAGAATCAGGGAAATTATGGTCTTGATGAATTTATCCTGGCATGTGGTTCTGAGTTTCATTTTAAGACTAACAATCTTAACCGTGAAAGAAAGAAGGATGATGTCAGGCTTTCCTCTACAAATTTGTAGAGTACAAAATTTTATATTTTGTATGTATTTATACTGTGTATATTTGTATTTGTACTCTTTTCAAACTGAGCATGTACATATTTGTATTTGTATTCCTTCCAAACTGAGCATAAGTTACTTATCTGGGTAAATACATTTACCTGGGTAAGTGTCTCCCGAGAAATACTTACCCGGGAGTGCATTTACCCATGTTCTTTTATTTTCCAGATAAATAAGATAATGACCGTTTTAGCTATAAAAATCTATTATTAGAAGGGCAATTTTGTCCCATGTAAGTGTTGGCAACTTTCTCTTACCCACCTAAAAGATGGGTATCACTTATTGG